AAATATCATCATCATCTGGACTTTCTTCACCTGGGGTGTGCGTTGAGCTCATTTTTTCGTTCGATGACTGTTAATATGTAATTATCAATGTGTCTAATTGGTTGATTCCAATTGTATAAATGTACTGGTTTGTGTTTATACTGCTTTTTTATTCTTCTTTTTCCTCTTTTTGATGAATTTGAAGTTGTTTCTGAGTCAGAGAAATATAATTGATCGTGAATTGGGCAATTTTTATCTATTGATTCTTTTAGTTTATAAAGTTCGTCTAAACTGTTGGTTTCTGATTCTGAAAATGCGTTTCGATTTTTTGAAAATCTTTTTCGTGTTATTTGTCTTTGTTTAGTTATTATTTTTCTCTTTAATGTTTGTCGTTTTGTTCTAATGTATCCAACTGTTTGTGTATGAGGTGTGATTACAAGGTCGTATTTTTTGTTATTTATTTCACAATTGTGTAAAACGATTGTTTGTTTATTTCCTAGGTTTTTAAATGACATAAGGTTTAGGATGACGGATGCAAAAGGTTGTTAAATGATTTCTATTTGCTTAAACTGTTAGTCCTTACGATTTTTTTGTTAGCCTAACCTGGGTCTATTTGTTCAGGGTTGGGGAGAAAAGTATATCGATTCCGAAGAATGATTTTATACTTTCTCGTGGCTAGTATAAGCTAAGGTGTTAACTTACTTAATCTTACTTAAGGGTAGTGATTGTGTTCAGGGTTGGAGAATAGTAAATCGATCCACAGGGTTCAGGTATAATTAGAACGCGAGTAGTTCGTTAGATACTATTTTAAACTTACTAAGTCTAAGATTTATCCTGGGTCTGGTAAGAGGTGGGATCAAGTGAAGGATGAATAACCGAAGTTCTTCACTGTTTATCCTAATTTGAATGATTAGTTTTGTTCAAAAATTTCTATTAGTCCTGGGTTTTTAGAAAGGGTTGGATAGTGAATCGACGTTTGAGGTCGTTAGACACTCGTTTAGTGTGTGGGGGAGAACAAAGTTGTTCTTTTTGATCCAAGGATAGGCCTTGATGATCAAGTTTTAAATTTAATTAAATAGAAAATGATTTAAGATCCAAGGATAAGCCTTGATGATCTGATTTTAAAATTAAGTGAATTTAAGTTTAAAATGTTTTAAATTTGTGTAAAGAATAGATTTAGTATTTTTATGATATTAGTGAGCTTATGATTGCTGTTATGTTTAGGCGATGAAGCTGGAACAACAGGATGATTTATAATTACTAATCATTTATTGTCAAGCTACTAATTTTTATTTTGATTTTTCAATAAATATTTTTCAAACATGTTTTGTATATTACTGCAGAATTTTGGAAAACGATCTGAGATCTTTTTATCAATCGTTATTGTATATTAATAATTTTGTTTAGCGCCTGAAATGATTTTGAAGATTGACTTCAAAATTTTATGTTTGCAAATGAAAATCTAAATTCATTGCTAGTAGTATTCTAAATACAAAAGTTTGTTCTGGCTTTTGCCGAACTATCATATAACTATATGGTAAGTTTCTGCTTTGTCGTATGTCGTCTCTGGTTCGAGGTCTTCTTCCAATTCCAGGTAGTTCTGTTATCGTTCGGAATAATAGCTCTAATCTATTAAGTCGTAGAGACATTTCAATTAAAATTTTGTCATATAACATTTTGTAAATGTTTTGTCTAAATTCTAATCTATTATTGGTTAATGCTAAGCTATTAAGGTCTAGTTCGAGACTTATGGTCGCACCAGATAAATTATGATCGATGGGTATAACTCATAGAGTAATTTCGGATAGGGTACACCGTCTGCTCGTCACGCTATCTTATTTTCGGCCGGATAGATTCGTGCAACTTCTTAGTCTAATACCGATCCTAATCTTACTCTTATACTATCTAGTCTCAGGTTGTTTAACTAGTCTCTGCTAGGCTCAATAGATCTAGGGTATACTGGTTTATTGCGGTTGCTGAAGTACTCGGGAGAGTTCAACTAATTTCTAAGTTAAATTCAAATCTCTCTGGTGCTGAAATTACAAGTAATTTCAGCACTTACAAATAAGTGGATTGTTAGTTAGATGGATCATGATTGGTTAATATTAAATACTTTACATTGGTAAAATATCTAATTTATCCAATCATAAAATGTAGTTTAGATCAGGTTCCAAATCACACTCACCTTGATTTTCTCGCAATATCTGAATTCATCCTGCAAGACTTTTTCTAATACTTGCATTTTGTTTCAGGGAAATGAGCAAAATTTGCACTATCGTGGAAATATATTTTCCAATTATTTAAATTATTTTGAATGAGATCAGTGATTTTTGTAGTTACTGCTTGTATTCTAGCAGATTTTTAGTAAAATCTTGCTCCAGATTTCGCTGAATAGTGTTTTCCCTAAACGAAGGATGAACGAAAATGACATGAGTGCCACGAAGACCAGCAATCATTTCAATTTCCAAAAACTTTTAAAATAGGTAGATTATCGTTTTAGTTTGAAAAAAAACATTGAACTGTTTGAAAAATAGTGTCACTAAAATTCGGAAGCTAGGTAATTTTTTTTATGAATGAATCTGGGCGAAAAATAACCGAAAGCTGCAAAATCAAATGTTTGCCCTAAAGGCATGTATTATACATCCTCAGTAAAATTAGTGCCCGGTAAAGAGAATGAATTTTTTGCAAATTTTTTGCAGTATTTGCGTTCTGGAGAAGACCTATCGATTTCCTTTAAATAAGTTGTTTGGGACTGCATCTTAAAGCTTTTTACTTTGAATATAATTATTGAGGAGTTTCAATGATGCAAGTTTTTATTTCTTGCAAGATATGTTTGCAAAAGAAGATATAAAATATTCCGAAATTCTGGCCAAGTTCCTGAGAAATTTTAGTTAAAAGTATAAAACGTCTGACAGGATTTTTTGCGAATGATCATTTTCTATTGTTTAAAAGCAAGGTCAGATTTACTGCTAATCATTGACGACCATTATACTTCATTGGCTTTTTGTTTATGGGTCTTTTTATATATTACGCCCAAAAATCAGTATTTCATAATCTTGAAATGAAACTATTTTGCTTCAACCTGATTGGCCAGTTTTATTGTTCAAAGTGTTTTGTTCACAATTTTAAATCGAATTACAAATGAGCCGAATCGGCTTAAAATGAGAACTGTTTGGTAAACTACTCAAAATCAGTTCAAAATTGCTTCAGAGTTTTACTCAGATTAGAAAAAACACAGAAAACAGTCCCGGGAAAAAATGACCTCCCATGTGGACAATCTCCCTTGATATACCAAGTGATTAATTTCCCTTTAAAATCAAATGATAAATTCCATCCGTAAGGCCTGCATGTAATCTGCTTAAATCTGATTGACTGAAAATTATTACTTTTAACCAAGTGATCGCTGTCCCCTAACAGTGACCAAAATGTCCAAAATGACCGTATCTGCTCAAAGTTCGGCCTGTTAGAAGTCGGCTTAAGAATAAAGTGATCGAATTTGTATTAACGGAATCAATCAGGGCTATCGCTATATTGCTCTCAGCATTTATTCATTGAAAAATAGAAAATCGAAAAAATTGGGTGGAACAAGTAAAAAGACTTATGGTTATTTAAGAGATGACTGAAAAGTAATGAAAAAGGTGTTTTATGCGTCAAAATTTTTTTGCCAACCCTGATTGTGATAGTCTGGAATTGGACTTGCATGGGTGCCACCTAGCATGCGGCTCTTAGCGCAATTAGACATGAGTTTGTAAATCAACATTTTCAGCTAAAATTAAAACTCATGCGTGCCCCATCAAACTGGCTAATTATTTTAATGTCCATTTCACCATTTCAAAACATTAATATTGGACACCTGAAATATTAACGCCCGAATCTGATTGGCTGAAATTAAATTTGTTGATAAAAATAATTTGAATAGCTCGTTCAATTAGTAAATGAAATGATGCACTGTTAATTTGTTTGTAGGAGGAATAAGTAAAAAGGTCATAGTTTTTAATTAGGCCAAAAAGCCGAAAAAATACGTGAAGCATAACTGATTATTCGGCAACTTATTCCTTAAGTGCTAGAGCTAATTTGAAGCGTTGGTTTAGCCTTTTTATCTTTCATATAAAGACTTTTGACGTCATTACTTCAGTTAGCCTTAATATTTGTCAAAATCTTCACAGAACTTACTCAAACATAATCAGAAATTATTTGTGAAGTTTGGGCTCCGAAGCTTTAATCGACATTAAATGATTAGCTAGTTCTTGGCTCAAAAAGTAAATCATTGAATAATCGTTATTAATTGATAGATTTTAAATACGTTGAAATATAAATCATTTATCTCTCTCGAATGGCCACGACGAATTTTCAAGAGCGTACATTTTATGGCTAATTTGGACAACTTTTGTGCGTTTTTGACCGTTATTATAGTTTTTGACCGTTTTTTATCTCAATTATTTTCAGTTAATATTTTTAGTTCGTCTCAACGTTCACGTTGAATTTAGCCCAGAAAAATTAAGAAAAAAAGTAACAACCAGTTTCTGATTCAAGGAGAGTAATAATATCACATTCGACGTAGATTACACCCAGCCGAAGTCAACATAGTGAAAATGGGCATAGAATGCACATTGAGCATGCCAACTTAAGGAGTCTTCTTGAAGTTTAACTGAAATTGGGTTCGTGTTTTTTCTAGGTGCCCTAGAATGAATGGAATGCATTGAAATTGTTATAACCAATTTGGATATTATTAGCCCTTTAGTAAAGTATTAATAACCGTTCACTACTTTGGTTTTTATCAGCCCTTCAGTAAGGTAGCTTGCCTTGTGGTTCGGCTTTTATTAAAATTTTTGAAAATTTGTTGAAGTTCGAACTTGTCGCTCGAAAGGTTAAAGCAACAGCAAAAGATTCTGAAGATTAAATTCCCCTGTTTGACTTGAGCGTTTATTGAAACTGCGTCTGGAATATTTTGATCCACTCTAGCTAGCGGGAGGTTGAATGAGCGGAGGGGATTGGGGGTTGAACGGGGCTAATTCTGGAAAACCTTGTAGTCTTTCAATCAGTTTGGAACTCGACTTGTCTCTTGCCACGCGTGCTTGCTAATCCCCCATACGCCATTTTATGTCACAAAGAGGTGCAAATTACAATGACCAACTAGCCGATGGATATATATATATATATATAAATCGAAAACAACAAATATAAAAGTATAGTTTTAAGGTATTTTTCAAGCAATGGCAGGGCAGTAAACATGGAAGCTTGTTCGGAATCCTTCCCGCAGTCGGCCAAGTATGACGTTTCAATGAAAAGAGATAAGATCGCTTCTCAGTAAACAATCCGCCTCCGTGGTCCACATGCCAAATTCTTACCATGGTAATATGGCCTGGCAGTTATATTCACTTCTCAAATCTCGCTCCAGTGGCGCCAGTGCGGTTATTTTTGTATTACACTACAGTGAAGTCCCTGCTTCTTTATCCTGGACCAACCGGCAGTTTAGTAGCTGTTCTGGTTCTGCTATCCAGAAGTGAATTGGAGAAAATAAGAGAAAAATCAGCCCAGTAATATAATATTATGTCTTGTATATATATGTTGGAGCGCATACTGTTATATTGCTCTCTGTCTTATATATCATTTGCTAAGCAATGCAGTTTGCGAGCACAAGGACATAAAGACAGGACACGAACACGCCAGTAATGGTAAGCTATCACAAATCCCTATTTCACATTCTCACCACTGTTCCACTTGAATTTTTTACCGCAAAAAAGTTAGAAATTTTTCGGAAAAGTTTACTAATTTATAGCTGATTTGAAAACCAATGCAGTCCCCACTTCGAAAATGCACGTTGTTGAAAATTAACTCAGGATCTGTTTCTGCCAAGCCAGAATCCTGTCCACACCCGGGTTGACAAAAAAGCTACTCGTACAATTCCCATACAATTTTCCATACATTCCATTCATTTTTTGAAAATGCATGAAAACAACCCGGGTACTTAATTAACCCGGATAATCAGTTTTGGTTTTGAAAAAAAAACAAATTTTAACTCAAATAGGAAATAGTTCAAATAGGAAATGTTATGTTTACGCTGATATTAACGTCATAGATTTCTTATTCTTGATATAACTGCCTCAAAAATTTCCGGTTTGGGGCTTCTGTGGATTTTCTGTCTAGATTTTGTCTGCGATTGAAAACTGCAGCTAACTTTTCAGTGAAACGTGAAAGCGGGCGCCCGTTGAAAAAGTTGATTTATTCTAATTCGTACCATTTTTCGAAAATCGTTTTTGAAATTTTTTCTCGCGAACTGTTTTAAAGGGCTGTATCTAACAAGCGATCCAACCTTGATCTGAATTCAAAAAAGGAGCTGCCAATTGGTGAATACTCAACTTAATTTTGGATTTTCACAAGCCAAGCAGGACCTGTGTAATAAAAGCATTGTTTTGATGAAAAAAAGAGATAAATTTTGTTAAAATTTTTGGTCATTTATACACCTCAAAATTGGGCCAAATATGAAAAAGGTATGTAGCATTGATTAAGCGTAAATATGATGAGCTAAAAGCTACAAGTTTTGAGGTCAAGAAGTCTTTTTGCACTGGAAATGTGTTCCTTTTAGAGATATAAAACAAATTTAGCAACTTGGTCACATAAACATCAAATAAATAATTCCGTCTTTTTGGCGTAGCAATATGAGTCAAAGAGCACAAGAAAGAACTAAATGATAGAAATGATAAATAATTTTGATCATGATTTGTTTGAGTTTATGAAAGAGGTTTTTAAAGTTTTTGCAGCTTCAGTTTGCATGCTGGCGCGAACAACGCCTTTGGTCAACGTGTACAATGTGACACAAAAAATTAATATCAAGGGCATCATAGACTGTTTATTCAAGAAATTTACAGATTTCAGAAGCCTACAAACATTTGTTTGTTCGTTTTTTAATTGATTGAAAAATGTTTTTTTTTAACTATGAAACTTTTTCAAAACTCTTTCTTAGCCCACTTGAGGGCAACCGGGTAACAGAAAGTTTTGAGGATTAGCAAGCAGATCAGTTTAGTGCTGCAAGCTAATTGTTCTAGTTTTTTAGAAAAATTACAGATATCAATTATGATACCCAAATAAAAATCCAAATAAAACGTTTTTCTAAGACAAGGATACCCATTGCTGTGCGAATAGCACAAAAATTTCTGACGACAAAAACAAAAAATATATTTTTAAATTGTTTGCAAACTGAGATGTTTTGTTCATTCGGCTTAAGCGGGTCTGAAAGAGAGTCTATATACACGTACATTCGGTATCGATAGTAAGAGTACAATAGTAAGAGTACAATTTTTGGTGAAAGTTAAAGATAAAACAAAACAATCTGTATTTTTTTTAAAGTTGCAGATTTTTCATATAAAATTTTTGTTGTCTAGAAAGAAATAAAAAAGCTTCAAAAGTAATGTTGCTTGAAAAAAAATTTAACCGCAAGGGCTTCAAAAAATTATACCACTCGACTCATCCGGACAATTATTTGTGGAATCTGATTTTTTGGCGGAAATATGAAAAAAAAAATAAAAGACAAGCGAATACAAAGTTCCGCCCTACTTTCAGTAATTGGAACAAAAATGGTGCTACTATAAAAAAAAGTTTGAATCAACTACTGACGTTGCCAGACCAGATGCTAGCAACCAATATTAGCTGGTGTTCAAAATTGAGAGAGAGTTTTATCATTTTCTATTCTACAGGACAGTTAGAAAAATTTTTATCGGATCAAGCATATCTGCCATGATAACGAATGTAAGACTTCCAAATAAGACTAGGAAACATACTGATAGGGGTAATAAAAACGAGGAAAAATCAAAGTCTTAAATCGATATTGTAATCAAAATTTGGGATGCGAGATTGTCCAAGTTAGACAAGCCCCAAAGGAAAGGCAAAAAGCTTTAATATCGATGACTTATGTTGAAAATATCAGGATCTTATTGATTTGATAACTGCTAACCTCGACCCAGAAATGACAATTGTATGCAAAAACCCACCCATACTTTTTCATCAAGTTGCTAATTGGCTTCCATGACTGAAACCTATAACAGATCCACAGAAGGATTTCAGATGGTACAGTTTAACTTTCTAATAAAAGACACAAAACGTAGGAGCTTTATAGGGGTAATATGAAAGTTGACGATGAACGAGGAGATTTTTTCATATCAATTTGCTTCCGTTTGTTTGAATGCCATTTCTTCAATACCCTCAGAAATCAGAATAGCCCAGCCAGACAGCCACTTAAGTACATTATCTAAACAATCACCAATGCGAAAATACCAAAAGGAATATCTATCATATACAACTACATTGAGTCAGAATATCCAAAACAAGAAATCTTCAGGAGCTGAAGCCAACACTGCTTCAATTATACCCAAGTCTTTCAGCAAAATAAAGTTAGGCTTGTTACGAGAATACTCTTCATATAAGTCTGCAATTTTTAATTTAGAAGTAAAAAACTTCTGTTTGTTGTCTTACCAATAGTCTCTGTGACTCCTTTTTAAGAATTTGAGCAGTTTGTTAATTATAGTAATCTAGAACATGATGTAATGAAAACTATTGAAACTGGTTTTCCGTGGGTTACCAAAAATTTTCGAAAATTATTACTGTTTTTCCATATAAATACTTTAAATATATTTAGTTTTGTACGTTGCAGTTTTCTAATAGCTCTTCCTATTGCTAATTGAACAAAATTTTTCAAAATAACTAATAAATTTTCTTTGAAATTATTATTATTTGTCTTCTTTTTGCGATTTGTATAAAGTTTAGAGCCAAAAACGTCTTTTTTCAATTGAAATCTACGTTAATTCTTCTTGTTTATCCGGTAAAATTAACCAAAACTAAATGAAAAAACTGGGGCTATTCTCATGGGCGAAGGACCAAATGGGCAAAATATTCATGGGCGAAAAACTAAAAACACAAAGAGTCAAAAGTCAATTATTAAAATGAATCAATTGCCTTTAAATGGAATCAAATCAAGCAGTATTGTGCTTCTTGTATAACGAAACCCGTCAAACAAAAAATTTGTTCCAAATCGACGGCGGTCAGTGAAAATTTAAAAGTTTTGCTTATTTCTGCCGCCTTTTTTTGCCAATATTAATAATAAGTCCCTGTAAATCTTTACTTTTTCTGATATTTACACGCTTCTTTTCCAAATATTGGAATACTGGAATCTGATTGGCTGGTTTTTGCTTTCACCCATTCAGTTTTTTGCCAATGAAAAATTCCACCAAAAAACATCTCAAGAAACAACAACTCAAAAAACAACAACAACAATATCAAAGGTTTACGTTCAAAACTTATAACTTCAGCCGCAAAAATTTCAAATTTCGAAACAACTCAGTGGCATAGAAACGCAAACCCTGTTTTTTGAGTTAAATGATTAGTTTTAACAGACTCCGGATAGCAAAACTTACGTTGGTTGCCCATTCGATTAACCAACGAAAATTAACACATAATTAAAAAGTTAAGCTCCCAATGCCAAAAATCTCAAAATCTGCAATTGCACCAAGGCTTTAGTATTTCGAATAGCAAAACCACAATTTTTGAATAGATCTTAAGCTAAGTTTAATAACAACACAAAATTAACACTGTTAAAAATATCAAATAATCCAAATAAAAAAAATGTTTGTTTTTTGACCCAGAACAACTACGCAAAATCACACATTTCTAAAACAATATTTTTAGGTTATTGTTCCGACTTTCGATACGAAAATAACGGAATATTTGTGCTCGGGGTGGGTTTTTTTTCTTCAGACAAATTTCGACTTTTCAACAAACCATTTTTGACGGAATTTTGTAAAATCATTCAAAAGTTATTGTTGTCTTGAGCTTAAATTTGAAAAGATATTTCACCTGTGATCATTTTTCGTAAAGTTATGAGGGTTTAAAGATTGCCATTTTGGCCATTTTGACCAATTTGGGACAATTAACGCGCGATATATTTGGCGCTATTAACGCGTAAGCGGAGATTCGATCCGTCTTATAAATCGTTCCAAATTGGTTGAACGAAGCTTATTTGCCATCATTGATTTGTTACAAGGAACGAAATATATCTTTTTGTACTTTATATGGCGTGTGGGGAGATGAATTTCAAAAAAAAAAGTCAAATTTTATTTAAAAAAATTTATTTTACTTCATTTCATTTAATTTTTTTATTTAACACTGCTGCTCCGTAAACCTTAAAAGGCAGTCGGAACATTCAGGGCTTCGCCTTGATACGAGCAGTCTTGTTATATTTTGAAATAATTCAATGCAGACAAAAAAAAACAATTTTCATCTCTTATATCTTCGAAGTGAATGGTGAAACAGTGCCCAATCTACACTATCAAAAACTCTCATTGACTAAATAATTACTTAACTGTGCTCCAAAGATCAAAGAAGCATTTTAGTTGTATTCAAGCGTGCCACTAAAACAGGCTGTCTAGACACAGTTTCTAAATAAAACTATCCGATAAACTTTGACTACTACTAAGACAAATTTATTCAAATGATTCCAATTTAACTGAGAAGAAACCCCGAAATAATTTATATGTTTCAACCGATACTTTGTCCAAAAACTCAAAAAAGTTGACAATAGAAACAAAGTCATTTTTTTACGTTACGCTAAACTTTATTTTTATCACGAGTCAGATATAAACAAATTATACAAAACATTCAATTAATTAGCAAATTATACTTTTAT